TGTGAAAAAAGAAAGGTCACTACGGTCACAGTCCTGTGGAAGCCTCCACACTTAAGATGCCATCTCATTTAGTTAATACTGACCCAGTGGCCTGGAAACTGGCAGCCAACGACTAATCAACACCCAGGCTTCTCGGGGAGGGAGTTCAGGGGGTGATCACACTACACCGTGTGCCACGTGGTGAGGGGCCAGCTGCACCTCTTAATAGCTTTTTGGTCTCTGGCGAGTTACTTTAGCAGAAAGCAACTCAGATCCCCTGTCACTGAAGGGAAGAGAGTAACACTTAACATCATTATAGCAATTAACGTATTATGAAAATTATAGATGAGTCTTTAAAGGTCTTCTTCATGGCCCTTGTCACACAGTAAGTTTCCAGCTCGTATTTGGATCACAGAGTTTCAGAGGTTAAAAGTGGACTTACCAGTCCCCAAATGAAATGTCACTGCAGCTTTAATATACTAGGGAAGCAACAGGCAGAGGTGGTCAGGGCAAGGCCGCGCTGCAGGGACAGTCAGATGGGAAAGCACTTAAAGGGACAGGAAAGCGGAGCACGACACAGTCACTTGTGTCATTCCACACTCTCAGCATCGGCTTAATCCTTCAGCAGATACATTACTGTCCACAGTATTATGTACAGACTTATCCGAACAGCTCTAGATGGACACACGGTAAAGGTGTAGCCAGCCAGCTAAAACCAGGTCGGGGGGCCCCTTTGCCAGTCGCCTACAGGCCCCCTTTTCACGGCTCACAGCAGGTGGCTCTGTGACGGCTGCGGAATCGGGGCCTAGTCAGCACGACACAGGACTGGGACATATAACTGACCGCGTCATCTCAAGGTCCTCAATTCGGATGAGGGGCGGCAATGTTTCCAGAAAAATACCACATTTCCCAGCCTACCCTGCAACGAAAGGAGGTCAATGATGGACATGTAGAAGCAACTGGAAGGGGCACCTAGGGAAGCAGTTTCAAGGGGGACTAGCTCAACTGGGAGGTGCAGCCCCTTGGCCCCTTGCCCTTCCTTCTGCTTCTTGTCTGAACTATGGATGTGAGGGCCGGTGCTCTGACAGCCATTCTAGGTCCACGAGGTAACCTTGACAATGGAAACTGTGCACTCAGAATTGAGGGGCCCAAAGGCAGGAGTCTGTTCCTAATGATCAGATCACAAAGCCTCCGTCCCAGTCATGGCTTTCTTTCCTCTAGATTCCCTTTATATGAGAGATAAATAAACCTTTAACTGATTATAACTGTACCTGCTTGTTTGCATTTTCAGTTGTATGCCATTCAACCTAATCTGAACTAAATCCCAACTACTGGGTCAGTGTTAGCTCAGGCACCCCTCAGAAAAGTCAGACCTGGAGGTGGAAACACATCTCCCACTTGCCCTACCAGCCAATGTCCTGTTTGCATTCATAGCTCCCATCCCCTCTTCCATGTCAAACTTCCTGGAAAGTCGGGTAAGTAAAAACTGATTAACTTCTGCAGAAAAATGTGTCTGTTCCCTTACCTGGTTTATAAAGATAAGAAATTAGCACACTCCTTGGGGAAAAAAGACATTTGTTGCAGAGGGTAACCACATACAGAAAGCCACAGTTCATGACAAAGAAGAAATGTGCATTTTACCGATTACAAGGTTTGTTTTTATTACCAACTGAATATCCATCTTGCCCACTTGCTCTAAGTGAAGTGAGGTGGGAGGCAGTAACTGTAACCCATTTTTTCACCACTGAATCCCCAGGGTTTAGCACAGAGACTGGCACACAGTAGGGCTACAATAAGGACTTGATGAATGAATGAATGAATGAATGAATGAATGAATGAATGAATGAATGAGTGAATGAATACTAATTTTTCTGATCCTGCCACTCATTGTAGGTCAACCAATCAAGTGAGTTTTCAATGACTGGCCTCAGGAAACGGAGGGGAAAGGTGGGTCACAGCGTCCCATTCCCCAAAGACTCTGTGGGAGGCCCTGTAGCAGGATATCAGTGACGGAGGAGTTAGTCCAGAATCACAAAGAGGGATCATTGTGAGCCTTCAACCCCACTTCTAGGACTACATGTCACCTTGGACATGTCATCTAACCTTCCCATGACCCTCAATGCAAAATACAGTTAAAGAAAATGATTCCTGATCCTCCGCCCAGCTGATCATATCACTGTCGGAATCCAGAAGAGATCTCAGAATCTGAAAATAATCTCTAGCCTCAGTTCTGAAAGGTTTGTTTGCAATTACGTTTATTATTGTCTCTTTAATGAACTAACACAAGGTACCGGGAGACCCTCGGAACGGGGGGATCTGTAACACGACCTCGGGCTCATGGCCTAAAAATCTCACAAACTGACACACCCCTCTCACTAATCCTTTTCAAACGAAAGATCGAAAATAGGCATCAGGAAATGACACACTACAGTTGAGACTATTAAAAGGAACCCCTCCCAAACCGGGCGGCATAAAACACATCATGACCTGTGAACGGATTTGCTGAACGAAGGAGGGACGCTCATTCCTTCATTTCTTCCTTTCTCTGCGGCCGCCATCGGGAGTTTCTCTGGGCAGAACACGAATGCTGTGCCTCACCCCCGATGTCCTGCCACAGAGACTGTATTTCAAGAAGCATTTCTCCATCTCGGCGGGAGTGACAGCGTCTGAGAGGAGGGCATGTTCCAGGGCCTGACAATCCCTCGTGGAGAAAGGCTGAAGAGCAGGGATGAGATGAGGATGGCCCTCGGTTGCTTAGGTGGTTGGTACAGGGAGCCGGACAGATAATGCAGAAGGTCAGTGCTTGGGAATCAAAAGGAGTTTACCCCGAAATTATTGCAGCCACCGCGACCCTACAAAATGAATCCCGTTTTAGATTTACAAGCTCCACCTTAACCAGAAACGCAGACTCGAAGGGCCTCCTGAATTTCTTGTGTGAGAGCTGCTCACGGAATCCTGTTATCCTATTGAAAACCAAGGTGCCACGGGCTGTAATAATCCCAGGTTTACGCAGCTCTTGACTGTATTTCACACCATAACAATGCACTAAGTATATTACAGCTATTTTACATTGGGCCTCTCGTTACTGACATAGCGCTTCTGTTAGGGAAACTCTATAAAGCACTGAGAGGAACAGAACACACGGCGCTACATTTATATTTTGGGGAGTATCGGGGTGTGAAATCAGAGCTGATGTGTCTTCGCTGTACAGAAAAAGGAAGTAAAGGGATGGGCACCGAGAGGCAGAGGAAACATTTGAACCATTAAAACCGATCTCAGATTGAGGGTAGAAAGGTGCCGCGGAATTTACTCTTCCCCCATCCGCTGTTAATCGAGAGACAGCGGAGAGATGGCCTCAGGCCATCGCGGGGCCTAAGCGCCTCTCTAAAGCTGAGAAGGGACCCGGCACGACATCACTATTCGGGTTTACATGTGTGGACACTGCTGGCAGGAAGCGTGTGGCACCTCGAGCACTGACAGTGTTGCCAATCAGCTCAAAACACAAGTTCTCGAGGCTGATGTTCACCCGGCCTCGGCCAGTCCACCTCCAGTGTCACCAGCTCATGGCTCAGTCCCTTCCACGCAGGACAGTTCTCATGGACAGAACATCCATCCTTTCCTCTGGGGTCCAGACGTCAGCCCGTTGCTGGCCTTTGCCAAAAAAGTAGTTTCTCCCAGATTCCTCCCCCCACCCCCAACTCGAGTTCCAAACTGGATGTCCAAGAGTCCTCTTGGCGCGCTCCAGGAAAACGCCTGGGACATCCACGCCACTCCCTGCTCCCGTGTCAATGACACGTGTTGCAGAAGTAAGTCCTGAACCGGGCCACAAAGCATGGATTTCCCGCGGGACGTGACCATTCTCACAGATCTGGCTTGTGTCCCGCTGCGAAAAGGAGCAGGAAGGATTTACACTTTGAAGAGCTGTGGCTACACTTCCCCACCCCTCCCTCCATCCCACGTGTCGTGTCATCCCTGGTGTTTGAGTCTCACCTACGAAGACAGTGCTCGAGGTGGCACTGAGCACCTCCCCTGCCGTTTCTGGGTGAGTGGCCAAGTCACATGTCAGGGTGCAGACACTGAGCCTGAGTTTCACAAGCGATCTGCGTGGGAGAGGAGAGCGCGCCACCCACACGGAGAGAAGCTTCTGGATTCAGTGAGCTGGACAACGTGGGGTTGCAAAGCGCATCCCCCCCAGAGCCGGCTAAATGGCTGTAAGAAATTGTGCTTGCATTTCGCTCGATCCGACCCATTTTCCTGGGACCCCAAACACCAAGGCCTCCCCAAATATGGCTATAATGCTGGCAAGTATTTGCAGATACCATTTCTGCAAGTTAAGCCCAAGTAGTTATGTACAAAGTTAGTTTACAGAATACCTATCCTATGAAGTTGCTGTGGCTGGATCAAAATAGGGATAAATATCATTCTTAAATGTGTCACCTAATCATTCTAGAAAGCTCAGGACACTTGGGGGGGGAGGTTTCTAGAGATTAGGCTCAAATATTTGGTTTTCTATATTATCTTCACCTCGATTGTGCCAATTTTTAAATGGAAAATATGATAGGTGGCTCTTTTAAATGCAAAAATATATGTATCCTGTACTTCAAACCCATTAGTTATATGATGACTCTAACTTCCTGTCCAGGCCCATTTGTTAGGTCACTGGCTCCGAGGAACTTTATGAAGGAGGCTGAGTGCTCTCACGCTCAAGTTCGCTTTGAAATGCAAAGGATCCTTGCACCCCTGGAGGGTGTCATTCCTCCTCCCCTGCCTTGGGCTGGGGCTACCTGAAACAAAGGACGCAGCTCTAGGATTATCAGGGTGTCTCAGGACACCCCAAATCAGTCACCTGAGTTACAAAGCATCTTGAAGCTGAAATGGGTCCTAAACTAGGGGTCGCAAAATCAACATCTCCTCCTCTGGGGCCATCCAAAGTCCTCTGGGAGGTGACAGACAGGAAGTGTGGGTGCACCGAAGGTCCCCTGGGAAAGCTTCTTCCAACGCTTCCTTTCCCCATGGCTGGTTCACATGAGGACCTGCTCCCGGGTCTCTGGCAGCCGAAGAGCAATCAGGCCGCCCCCCACGAGAGAAGTGGCAGCCAGGAGGATGGGGACCACTTTGGTGATCCCAACAAAAGAAGCAAAGATGGTGTTTCCCAGAATGGCTCCAAATTTGCAAAATCCATTGAGGATGCCAAAGGCCGTTGCCCTGTAAAAGAAGAAAGTAAATTCTGAAAGACACCAACTAGACTTCATTCGATGAGTAGGGCCCGGTTCTTTCTTTTCCTTGGGGGAAGGTGTGGGAGGGAATTTTTTTCCCCCTGAAATGTAAAAGCAATCCATTCTCTTTTAGTCAAATTTGGAAATACAGGCTAACATGAAGACGCAGGGATATACAACCTTGCCACAGAAAAGCAATCACCACTATTAACATTTTGGAGTATTGCCCTCTGATTTCCTCTCCTGGGCACGGTTTACATTCATCCCTTCACCTTGCCATCCACCACCTCCCCCAGTAAGCCTCAGCCCCCCCACTTCCAGGCCTAGGCTGGCCCCCACATACAGGAGAACCTCAAAAGGCCAAGAAATGTTTGGCCCATGGAATTCCGGGGACATCCAGGTGGCCATGGGGCAGGTAGGTTCCTAGGCAAAGTCCAAACAGGGCCCAGAGAGGAGCCCGGGGAGGCACCGACCTCTGGTTGGTGGGGTACAGCTCCACCGTGATGACATCCAGAGCATTCCAGGCCGCGATGCTGGTCCCGCAGAACAGGCACTGCCAGCCGATCATCGCCGACTCGCTGTTGCCAAAAAACAGAAAGAAGCAGCAGACGGCCGAGAGGAGCATGGAGCCGCCTGCGGAGGGAGGGCCAGGGCCCAGAGAAACATGAAGCCCGAGGCTTGGACGAGACTGTCACCCACAGGCCGTGCCCCACCTTCCAGCCTCACAGGTACCCCAGAAGTAACAGGTCACCTCAAGCAAAAGGTCCGTCTCTACACAGACAGCGCAGCTTGGACCCTCACACGACCCTGGCCAGGGACTTAGAGCCTCTGCCTGGGTCATGCCACCAGCTGGCCTATGGGAAGAATTTCGAAACTGTCACTCTGTGCTGCTAGCCAGCCCAGAATAACTGGGGACCAGGCAGGGGGCGGGCTGGTTAACAGTCTATTATATGCCAGACATTCTTCTAGATGCTTGAGATAGGTTATTATCCAAAAAAACACCTTCTCGTGGAACTTACATTCTAGCAAGAACATAACTGTAAATGGGCTACAGAAGGAAAACCTGTTTATTTTCCATTTATACCCACCCCATGCCAAATATCTGCCATCCTCAGCCCCACTCTGTGCCCCAAGGAGGTATAAAAGCAGGTCCCAAGTAATCAGCTGGGATTTCGGGCAAGAGTCCCCACCAGGCGTCAGGTGCCCGGGGAGGTGGGGAGCAGGGTGGGGGGAGGGAGGACCTCAGTTCACAAGAAGCCAGAAGGCCTGCCCGGCCTCACCAACAAGTGCCTCCCTGCGGGCCCTCTGCTGGGGGGATCTCGCTCCCACACCCAGAGCACCCGAAACTAGTGGCAAGCCCTGCTGGCCAGCTGGGAAACAGTAACTGCCTGGATTCTGCTGATTCTGGGAGAGGGGGGCTGTGAGCAAAACCAATGCTCACTTAAGAAAGAGCATTTTATATATATATATATTTTTTTTACAATAACCATATGAATAGAATGGGTATATTTAATGTCCCTATTGAAATGCTAATAAAATGAAACAAGTGACTGTCACAGAATCACTCAGTTGGGAGGTAGAGACAGACCCAGCTGGAACTAGAGGTCTCAGATCTGACCACCCCCCTGGGGCCCTGGATTTTGTCGATGCGCCTCCTTGACTCTTGCCTGTGTGGTTTCCTGTGCTAGATTTCTTTAAGAAAATGAAAACTTCTACCGCACACTTGAAGTCTCCGCCTCGGCCCCAACGACTCACCGATCATCTTGAGCCTTCCAATTCTGTCCATGAGCAGGGCGGAAATGATGTTCCCGGGCAAGACAGACAGGCTGCCAAGGAAGCTGACCAGGTAAATCAAGAAGTCGTTGTCCTGCTCCAAGTCCATGTGACAGCCCTCCTTCTGCTCCAGAAAGGTGGAGTTGATAAACCGGCAGTTGATGAACTTATGCTCATAGAGGTCTGGGGAGAGAAGGAAAGCTTGGGTTCGTGTAAAGTGGAGGGAGGCTCGGGGGACTCAGGGCAGAGGCCGGGATGAAGTTACACCACTTCCATGGGCAGGCCACACCAGCCTCTGGCAGTCACAGTCTCAAAGCCGAGGTGATATCTGCCGAGGTATGAATGGAGCGAGAAATCTCTACAAATGCAATGACCCGCACAGCTTCTGATCAGCAAGGGGAAATAAAACGAACATGCACTGAGAGCCTTGTTTAAATATATCATCTCTCAGAGCTTTTTGATCCACTCATCTACTGATGGGCACTTGGGCTGTTTCCAGATCTTAGCTATCGTAAACTGTGCTGCTATGAACATCGGGGTGCATATATCCTTTCTGATGAATGTTTCAGGATTCTTAGGGTACATTCCTAGGAGTGGAATCACTGGGTCAAACGGCAGCTCCATTTTTAATTTTTTGAGGAACCTCCATACTGTTTTCCATAGTGGCTGCACCACGGACAATGGTGGGGAGAGTGGCTGGGGATGGGGAAGGAACGGGAGGGAAAGGGTCATTGGGGAGAAAAAGGGACATCTGTAATACTTTAAACAAAAATAAAAATTATTAAAAATAAAATAAAATAAAATAAATAAAATAAAAAAATAAAATAAAATAAAATAAAATAAAATAAAATAAAATAAAATAAAATAAAATAAAAACATCATCTCTCAAGCCACTTAACAGTCCCCCGAGGCTACCCAGCTATTAGAAGCCGAAGACAAAAGAATTAGGTCTGGATTGAGCAGACCGCTCCACAGCCCATACCGAAACCTGAGCATTCTTCAAAATAAAAACAATTTAATTGGGTCAGTGGCTTTCAGGGTGGGGGTGCAGGGGGTCAGAGCAGGGGAGATGAATGGGGAAGCACAGAGTTTTTAGAACAGTGAAAATCCTCTTTATGATACTACAATGATGGATATGTATCATTATACATTTGTCCAAGCCCATGTATATCCCCAAGAACAAATGCGCAACACCAAGAGTGAACCCTAATGTAGACTATGGGCTCTGGGTGATTGTGATGCGTCCATGTAGGCTCATAAATTGCAGAAAATGTACCAGTCTAGTGGGAGGTGTTGACGTGGGGGAGGCGATCTGGGGGGGGAAGGTTTATGGACATCTCTGGGCCTTCCTTCTAATTTTGCTGTAAACCTAAAACTTCTCTAAAAAAAACACTTAAGTCTTAAAAAAGTCGCAACCATTTGCTTTGGGATCAGTTCCCATGTCTTCCGACACCTTCTAGCACCAGCTACTGTGGCTCTCAGGAAACCTGGGTTTGGGGGACCGACTCTGGTGCTGCCGACCCCCTTTAACCTCTTTGAACCTCCACGTACAAAATCAGAGGAGCCCTGATTATCTCTGTTGCTTCCCACGTGGCATCTCATGACTACACGTGTTTGCAGAAATCCCCATGTTAAGAGCATGCAAACAATCAGGCATCATCTCAACTTGAAAGAAGAAAAGATAACGCCAGGTTTTAATCACAAATAGGAATGCACAGAACTAATTTTGTTTTTTAATTCAAGCTAAAAAAAAAAAAAAATCATTTAGGAAGGTAAGTCCCATCATAGATTATTTTGAGACGGGGATTTTTGGAGACCAGACGTTGAACCTTTGGAGGTTGGCATCATGGAGGAAAGAGATGTTCTTGCATAACCACTCCTTGGTGCAAATGCCAGGGTGAAAGCACTGATCTGGACACAATACAAGTGGTTCGGTGGAAAGATCACAGACTTTAGAGCCCAACAATTGAGAAATGAATCCAAGCTCTATCACCTTGCTAGCTGCGGCCTTGGCCAAGTGACTTCAGCCTCAGTTTCCATAGCTATAAGACGGGGCTAATAGGGCATTTCTCACTTGAGACAATGTAAGTGAAATCCCTGGTAATGCTCAGGGAGTTTCCTTATATCCCAACTCCACTTGGTATGTTATTAACATGTGGTGAGAGCAGTCAAAATAACAAGGAATGAGAAACTGGCGGAATTTCTGATTTTTTAAAATTTTTTTGATTTTTTCTTTTTTTAAATATATCTTTATTGATTTCAGAGAGAGGAAAGGCGAGGGAGAGAGAGATAGAAACATCAATGATGAGAGAGTCATTGATCGAGCCCGCAACCCGGGCCTGTGCCCTGACCGGGAATCGAACCCTGATCGCCTGGATCCCAGGTTGACGCCCAACCGCTGAGCCACGCCCGGCCGGGCTCTGATTTTTTTAAAATCTGAAATGGTATTATTTTTAAATGTTCTTATCATGTACACTTCATACAGAAAGCTTGAAAAAAAATGCAATTTTCTCTTCTCACTTACTGTTGCGATACCATGAGTCTTGAATTTTGAATTCTGTGAGTTTCAAATGAGGCAAGATCTTGAAGAATGCACCTTGTGGATAAAATACAGCCCTCCTGCGATGATATTTTTGATCTGTGTCATGCTTTGCTCCTACCCAGGACCCTTAGCATATAGCATCAGTCTCATTGAGATCAGAACACTCATCTGGAACTTTTGTTTCCTTTAGATGTGATAAAACTGGGGTGCAGATAAATTAAATGCCTTGGTATAGACTGTGCAGGTCATCTGTGCCACACCTGGGGCTAGACCCCATTTCCCACCCCAAGGCTCACTGCTCCTCTTTTGATTCTTAGACAGGACTAGTCCACCCCCGACAGTCCCCCTGCTCTGTCCCTGTTCTTACCTGTGTTATAAAAGATGGTGGATTCAATGGTGCAGTTCTTGAAATAGGTATCCGTGGATGTCACATCTTCAAAATAGCACTCGTCAAAGAAAGTGTCTTCAAAGAGAACATGTTTGAAGTACATCTTTGTGAACCTGTGGGAAAGACATTCGGTCCTGAGTGATCCATCCAGGAGGGGAAAAAGGAGACTTGGGAGCAACATGGAAAACACAGAAAGGCAGAAAAAGGGGAACCACAACCCAAGAGGTGCTGGAATATTCTTTTCACCCCAGACTACTTCCCCATTTCTTAGCTGCCGGTTTGTGAGTGAGGGGGGCTTTATGAGTGTGGGTGCACATGGGGGACTATGCATCGGCCTGGTGCTTCCCAAGTGCAGGTCCACGGGCCTTCTGCACTGGAATCATAGAAATTTGAATAGCGTGAGATGAAAACACTGATAACATCTCACTTTAGGAGGAGCTTTCAAAACATGCAGGCCCCTCAGCTGGTCTTGGTAGGTTTAAAAGCAAGAGATTTGTGAGAATCTTTATGTTTAAACTCGCCCCAACGAAGATGTGGGGAAACAGGCACTTTAACTCACATGGTTAACAGGATCTAATTGGTGCAGCCTGTCTGGAAAGCAAGTTTGGAAAATTTTCAGTGCACGAGCCCCTTGACCTAGGAAGAATCATCTCGAACAACGTGTCCAGCATGTACTCGCTCATGCGTTCAAAGGGGCACATTTGCTGATGTTCAGTGCAACATTTTTTATAACAAGAAGTGACTTTTACCCAGGCGTGGCTCAGTTGCTGAGTGTCCACCTATGAACCAGGAGGTCANCAGGTCGACGCCCAACCGCTGAGCCACGCCCGGCCGGGCTCTGATTTTTTTAAAATCTGAAATGGTATTATTTTTAAATGTTCTTATCATGTACACTTCATACAGAAAGCTTGAAAAAAAATGCAATTTTCTCTTCTCACTTACTGTTGCGATACCATGAGTCTTGAATTTTGAATTCTGTGAGTTTCAAATGAGGCAAGATCTTGAAGAATGCACCTTGTGGATAAAATACAGCCCTCCTGCGATGATATTTTTGATCTGTGTCATGCTTTGCTCCTACCCAGGACCCTTAGCATATAGCATCAGTCTCATTGAGATCAGAACACTCATCTGGAACTTTTGTTTCCTTTAGATGTGATAAAACTGGGGTGCAGATAAATTAAATGCCTTGGTATAGACTGTGCAGGTCATCTGTGCCACACCTGGGGCTAGACCCCATTTCCCACCCCAAGGCTCACTGCTCCTCTTTTGATTCTTAGACAGGACTAGTCCACCCCCGACAGTCCCCCTGCTCTGTCCCTGTTCTTACCTGTGTTATAAAAGATGGTGGATTCAATGGTGCAGTTCTTGAAATAGGTATCCGTGGATGTCACATCTTCAAAATAGCACTCGTCAAAGAAAGTGTCTTCAAAGAGAACATGTTTGAAGTACATCTTTGTGAACCTGTGGGAAAGACATTCGGTCCTGAGTGATCCATCCAGGAGGGGAAAAAGGAGACTTGGGAGCAACATGGAAAACACAGAAAGGCAGAAAAAGGGGAACCACAACCCAAGAGGTGCTGGAATATTCTTTTCACCCCAGACTACTTCCCCATTTCTTAGCTGCCGGTTTGTGAGTGAGGGGGGCTTTATGAGTGTGGGTGCACATGGGGGACTATGCATCGGCCTGGTGCTTCCCAAGTGCAGGTCCACGGGCCTTCTGCACTGGAATCATAGAAATTTGAATAGCGTGAGATGAAAACACTGATAACATCTCACTTTAGGAGGAGCTTTCAAAACATGCAGGCCCCTCAGCTGGTCTTGGTAGGTTTAAAAGCAAGAGATTTGTGAGAATCTTTATGTTTAAACTCGCCCCAACGAAGATGTGGGGAAACAGGCACTTTAACTCACATGGTTAACAGGATCTAATTGGTGCAGCCTGTCTGGAAAGCAAGTTTGGAAAATTTTCAGTGCACGAGCCCCTTGACCTAGGAAGAATCATCTCGAACAACGTGTCCAGCATGTACTCGCTCATGCGTTCAAAGGGGCACATTTGCTGATGTTCAGTGCAACATTTTTTATAACAAGAAGTGACTTTTACCCAGGCGTGGCTCAGTTGCTGAGTGTCCACCTATGAACCAGGAGGTCACGGGTTCGATTCCCGGTCAGGGCACAGGCCCCGGTTGTGGGCTCCTCGATCCCCAGCAGGGGGCGAGCAGGAGGCAGCCGATCAATGACCCTCATCATTGATGTTTCTCTCCCTCCCTCTCCCTTGCTCTCTCTGAAATCAACAAAAACATATATTTTTTTTTTTTAAAAAGAACTGAGTATTAGGTAGGTGATAGGTAGGTAAGTAGGAAGATAGGTAGACAGATCCATACACTGGAATACCACGTGGCCATCACAGTCATTAGGTAGACCTACATGTCTTAATATGGAAGAATCTTCAAGATATAGTATTAACCAAAAAATATCAAATGCAACGTAGTTTTCACAGCACATGACCTTTCATGTAAGAGGATATGATACATATGCCTCTAAATACACAGAATTTATCTGGAAAGTTACACCAGAAACTGGTAGGTGCTGTGGCCCTGGGGAGGTGCGATGCGGGTTGGGAATGAAATAAACTTTAATTTTTCTTCTGTACCAAGTGTATATATTACTTTTCCACTTAAACATAAAACATTTAATAAGGGAGGGGGGAAGCACCTAGGTGATTATGAGGTACAGTCACATTTGGGAGCCACTGCACTATTCAAACTCCCACGTAAACTTAACAGGAAAGAACAATATTACATTAGAAAACATACAGGGACATGCATTAACAATACCCCCTGTTGGTTATATTTCCTAAGCTTAGTCAAACTTATAATCTAGAAACCCTTGGATTTGTTTTCGTATGTGAAGAATGACAATCCATTCGTGTATGGATTGATGTGAGTGATGATTTGTTCATTTATTTACATAGTCAGTCTTACTGAACATACTACTAGGTGCCATGAGTAGAGAGGAAAGACATGGTCCCTGCCCTCAAGTCTAACTGGGGGGGGGAGCAAACACACAACTAAAATACAGCGGAATCATAGTGACAGAAGCAGCTCAGGGTGCTGAAGGTCATTGCTCCATTTCAGGGCCACCAGGTCATTCAGTCCATGACCACATCTGATGGCCAGTTCCCCTTGCCCTTCATGTCACATTGTCGTCTGCTCAGAACCCTGACCCAGAGCCACCTGCCAGTAGCTTCTGCAAAAAGACCTCCCACCCAATGAGAAGACCTGGGCAAGTGCTTCTCAAAGAGAGGTCCTCAGACCATTCGCCCCAGGCTAGTATGAAAGATGGCCTTTCCTACCTCAACCTCTTGAACAATAACCCCCGAAGTCTAATATCAGTTTATTACATTTTTTTAGTGAGTCATTGATCTACAAAGCCAAATTATTTTGGATCATTTTCCCAGGGTCCAATTTACTGCAAACATTCAAAAAGGGCCTTCCAAAAGCCCTCACTGAACTCCTCGGATTTCCATGGAAAAACTAGTTGTTGCAGGAAGACGCCTCTGATTTCAACACAATTGTAATTTGTGTGCTGGGTGTGTTTACTCAGGAAGCTGTTTCGAGAGATTGTCTCAGATGTTTGCCTTTCTTAATATATCCTTCTGTTTTTATACAGCGCTAGGCTGCCTCTGTGGCCTTCAGGGATATTTTAATGTTCTGGTAAAAGTGGGCAGGAAGCAGAGCCATAAATCATAATGCGCCAGATGCAGACAGACCTTAAAATGTATCTCTGAGTGAGTTCTAAAAAGCCAGAGTTACAAAGAAGGAGATGAAAGGAGAGAGGGCCGAGGCATATTTTATATGAGTCTCTACATAAATCATCTCTCCCAATCTCTAAATTATATACTGAACTGGTCCAAGGGTTTTCATTCAGGAAAGTTCAAAGGGTGAGAGGAAGGTTAGCAAAAGTATCATGTGGAATTTTCCTGTAAGGAAACAAGCCACTGGCAGTCCGGAGTCGATGGCAGAATTATTATTATAAACGCTATATTTCTGTCACCCTCAGGCCCAATGCTTAGTCCACCGAGTGGCCTAAACTATGCCGAAAGTGACATCTGCTTAGTCACCATGTTTTCCATGTGATGGCATCCCCCTCAAGAAACTCAGTCTAATTTAAGACATAAACAAGAAAACTGACGATTAAAATTTAGTTGATAATTAACAAGTCAGAGGTATGCTATAAAATCACTTCAAAAAGGGCACTTGGGCCCAGCTGGGGAAGAACACGAGATGACTTATCCTAAAGGACAAAAATAAAAGAGAATTCCTTTAACTTTATAAAGGCTATCAGCCAAAAACGTAGAGTAAATATTATATACTTCAAGGTAAGACACCAAAAGTGCCCCACTCAAGTCAGAATACCTGTTAGCACTGCTTCTCCCCATGGCTGAACTTGTCATAAACAAGGCAATCCAACAAGAAGCAGAAAGAATGAAATTATAAGCATAAGAAAGGAAGAGAGAAAATTGACCAAGTAGAGAGAAATACAATGTTCAACGGTTGAAAGATTCTATGGTGTGAAGATGTCCCCAAGTGAATCCAAATATTCCATGTCATTCCAATCAAAATCCCAACCGGCTGTTTTTAATGGATTTTAAAACTTGATCCCGAAATTCATGTGGGGGCAAAACTAGCCAAGAAAAATGATAATAAATAGGTAGAGGGACCTAATAATCCTGGAAATGCAACAAAACAGCAAAGTTATGGCAGTTAAGTCAGTGTGGTTTTGGTAAAAGAAAAGACAAACAGACCCATGGAACCAGAGAGCAAAGAAACACAGTAATACATGGAAAGAAACTTGACACGTGATAAAAGTGCTATTACATGTCATTAGGACATCTCCCCGCTCTGGGATAAAAAGCTATCCCGTTTTTAATTAACAATTTTTTTTTTTTTAATGAACATTTTCTTTTGTTTTTCTATATGAGGACTGACTCAGAGCCACCTGATCATATAAGACGCACCGGGTGGCTGCGGGTGGTGCTTGGGGGACAGGCCAACACTCATCTGTGTACTTTTGTTCTGTCTCGGGGTCCGACAGGAGGCTGACATTTAGGTTGCGACAGGATCTCCTTTATTGACAAAAATCTCTGGGTCAAGTCTGAAGCCCTTTTTACACAAAGGCATTTTCCCCCAAGTGCGACAGTCACTGAAGTAAATCATTTATATCTAAATTTTAAATCAGCAAAGTGCGGATAAATTAAAGAAGGAATCCTGGTTACAGAGAGAAAACTACAACCCAAGCTAAAGAATATCAACCTAAAGCTCCAGAGAGGCTGTGGTTTGCAAAGACGGGGTGTCTTCCAGCTTCACGCCAGCAGATGGCAGCAAACCTCGGGTTTGTTTACCCTTTAGACCAGGTTGAAAGATTCCTGATCTTCCCAGGGGGAAAACACCCTTTTTTTACTCAATAATTTGCTGGGAGGAAAATTATGGGCTCCAAGTAGTTGTAATTTTAGTATCCACTGGTTTAAAAGCATATATATGGCAATTTACTTATTTATTTTTTTAAAATATATCTTTATTGATTTCAGAGAGAGGAAAGGAGAGGGAGAGAGAGATAGAAACATCAATGATGAGAAGGTCATTGATCGAGCCCAGAACCCGGGCATGTGCCCTGACCGGGAATCGAACCCCGATCACCTGGATCCTAGGTCAACGTCAACCGCTGAGCCACACCCGGCCGGGCATATATGGCAATTTAAAATTAACTCCTGGCCACTTTTGAAGGGATTTACATTTTAATAATCACAGAAACATCCACATGTCGTGGGAACAAAGAAATACTGTAAAACTTCTTTGAGACAAAATATTTGCATCGGCACCAGCAGGCGGTTCTTGGCCTCTCTGTGCATCTCCAGGCCCTTGGCAAAAATGCTATGGTCCCCTGGGCTCCTGGGCACACAAGATGAGGCCACTGCTCCCAGCGGCCCTGCTTCCTCCCCGCTCACGCCCGAGCTTGCTGAGAGCTTCGGGAGGCTGAGAAAGGTTACGAGGACTAGGCCTGAGGACTTCAGCCCTAGCTGGGTTGCTCAGTGGTTAGAGTGTCGGCCCTCAGACAGAAGGGTCTCGATTCCAGTCAAGGGCATGTGCCTGGGCTGCAGGCTCAATCCCTGGGCTCTGGAGGCGATCCACCAATGCCCTCCCCCCTCCGCTCTGAAAAGCAATGGAAAAAATATCATCAGGTGAAGGTTAAAAAAATAAAAATTCAAAACCAGCCCGTTCTAGAGGAACCTTTAAATGCAGAAAACACCGTGTGGAACAGGGCCTCTGTGGGGATGGAGACTTCCCCGAAAAGACATTTATAGTTGTCAAGGGTATGGGATTGGAGTCCAAATGCCTGGGTTGCAAGAGGGACACTTCTATTCATATTAGCTGTGTGACTTGGGCAAGTTACTCAACCTCTCTAAGCCTGTAAAGTAGAAAGCACATTTCTTGCCTCCTAGAATTTTTGTGAAGATTAAATGAGGTCACCTATGTAAGGCACTCAGGCAGCACCTGGCACACAGAAGTGCCCAATAATATTGGCTGCCGTCATTATTTATCACTGGCCTTATCATCTTTGTCATTGCTATCTTTATTATCACTAAAGTCACAACAGAATATCCCTGCACACTGGAAACTTCATAAATGGTCTCTTTTAGTCGATTCATCTCTGTGGGAAATGATGTCATATCATGGGTGACATCTAGCCATCCATAACGTCTCTTAGGTTTCCACACTTCTAAAATGTTCCAGTAAAGTCATGGCAACATTTTTTCCTTGGTGATGCCAACACAAGACCTCTCGACTTCTGCTGAAGAGTCCTCAGAGGGAGAAATCCTGGGAGAATCCTGGAGAAATCCTGGGTCTACCCCCAGTAGCTTTTGGGGTTGCCATCCCTGGAGTGGCCACCCTCAGATTATAGCAGCGTGGAATGTGTGCATGGCCCACGTGAATGTGTAGATGTTTGTGACTGAGCTTCTGTGTTTAAAAAGGTCACCTGGCCCAGCCGGGCGTGGCTCAGCGGTTGAGCGTCGACCTAGGATCCAGGCGATCAGGGTTCGATTCCCGGTCAGGGCACAGGCCCAGATTGTGGGCTGCAGCCGATCAATGACTCTCTCATCATTGATGTTTCTAGCTCTCTCTCTCCCCCTCCTTTCCTCTCTCTGAAATCAATAACAATATATAAAAATAAATAAATAAATAAATAAATAAATAAATAAATAAATAAATAAATAAATAAAAATTAAAATAAAAAAGTCACCTGAATATCTGAACTCCATGTCCACTGCTACTGGGCCCTAACTTTCCTGCCAAAGGGCTCGTAGATGTAGGAATAATATTCCCCTTTCCTTTCATATTTCCTTTCTCATCCTAAATAACAGCAAAATGTTTGCTAAGGTCGGGCCTGTAAGAGCCACATGGACTAGACTAGAGAAGGCACCTCCTTGCACTTGACCCAGACACGCGCTCCCTTCCCACGGTGGCTGACGGTGACGGCAGGGCCCCTTCACTCAGACACATGGGCGGGGGAGGTGGGCCATGAACTGGAGGAGAGAAGTCGCGGTGTTCATTCTGAAGCTGGGGTGAGAGACATGGGCCGTTTCTGTCACTGACAGTGAACTATCTGGTCCATGGTATTTCTGCGGCCACCACGCAGCCTGACCTGCTGACCTGCTGGGTACAGTTCAAGAAGGGAAACGACAGAGGAAACAAGAGGCCCAGGGTAAACTTAGCCCTGTCCTGGCCCATGTGGGGGGCTTCAGAGAGCACCCTCAAAGAGACATTCTTAAAGCCCAGTGGGCTGGACTGCGCATTTCATTTGTCCCAGGAGTAGAAAGAAGTCCAAAGGACTGAGGAAAGCAGCCCCAGGAAAACAGAGACAAGCCTCTGGAGGAAGACTGGCCATGCTGACAGGTCCTTGAAGGTAATATTGGCTAGAAGGGTAACCTGAGATAGTGTCATGTTAGTCTTGATCTGAAAGAGTGTCCAGAATCAAAGAGAAAGGTCAAGAACCAGGCAGTGGGCTGGGGCAGGGACCCCAGCGGCGAGAGCTCTGGCGGGTGGCGCTAAAGGGTGACAGCTCCCCGCAGGGCTCTACCAGAAGGTGTGGGTCTCAGGAAAGACGGGCTGGTTGAAGCTCCTCAGTCAGATGCCTCCATCCCTGGATGAATCAGCTACAGCAGCAGATCAGGGCTGACCTGGAGCCAGCACCACACAGACAGAGCCACCAGGGGCATGACTGGGCCTGTGGCAGCCACGACAAGTTGTGCTACCACAATAGACTCGGAGGTCATCCCTCCGCCACACTGAATTCCCACCTTTCCAACGGCTCTCTCCCAAGATCAGTCCCCAAGGACTGTCACCCCGATCCAGGGGACTCCACGGTCCCTCACTTACTTGTCATTCACAAGCTTCCCATGCCGGTGAATCTGGTTTTCCATGGTGAAGTTGATTGTGGCCCCGTACACGTGCTCGCCGAAAAAGACCTTCATTTTGGACCTGTATTCTTCATCTTGAAAATACCGGATCATGTCGGGGAACCAAACTGTCAGGCCGTAGTAACTGGAAGGGAGAAGACAGACTCTTTGAACCGCTCTGTTCTTTCACGATCAGCCCGCATTCCTGGTCTGAGGTAGATAACACTCATTTTAAACGTATTAATATGGTTCATTAGTAGAAAATCTAATCATGTAACGCATCACAGTAACAGACATGAGGGAAACAATCGTGACCATCTCCCTACATGTGGAAAAGTCATTTGATGAGAAAACATTCATTCCTGATTAAAATGCCAATAGGTTGGAAATCGATGGACACTTCCTTAACGTGGAAAAAAATACATATCTCAGCTCAAAAGGCAGAGTCTTACTTAATGGGGGAAACACTAAAGACATTCCTGCTAACATCAGAAACAAGACCAGGATACCCTTATCACCACTACTACTGACACTATTTTGTAGGCCTTAGCCAACCCAGTTAGACAGAAAAAAAACATTAAAAATTTAAAAAGCAGGAGGTAGAACTACCTCTATTTGTAGATGATATGATTTTATATCTGGAAAATTCAAGATAACTAACACACACACCCAGAAGTGGTCATTAGACATATAAAAAAAAGATGCTCAATCCCACTCATAATAAGAAAAATGCAGATTAAACTACATGGTGTTTACCATTCTCGCCAGCCAGACTGTCAAAACCTCAAAGTTTGCCCAAACACCCCGTTGGGGAGGCTGTGGGTTAACAGGTGTTCTCATGCATTGCTGGGAAATGGGAAAAATTGTACAATATCATACGGAGGACAGTTGGTCAATGACTAAAAAAATTACTGATGGCCCTGACCGGGGTGGCTTATTTGGTTGAACAACGTCTCGTGCACCAAAAGGTCACCAGTTCGATTCCCGGTCAGGGCACATGCGGGGGTTTCAGGCCCCATCCCCAGCAGGAGGCGTCCAGGAGGCAGCTGATCAATGTTTCTCTCCCTCTCATCCATTTTTCTCTCTCTCCCATCCTCTCACTCTGAAGTCAATAAAAAATGACTGATGGATTGATCCCCTTGGACTCTAGAATCCCATCCTAGGAATCTATCCCAGTGATAAACTTGCACAATACAAAGTAGCCTCCAGACAGTTATTCATTATACTTTGGTTTGCAATAGTAGAAGCCTGAAGCCTCCCCAAGACTCTAGCAATAAATTCCCGGTTGAATAAAGAGGGGTACTTTTCCGTGGAGGGCTGTGCACATGAGCTATGCCTCTGTAAGGACTGAGGAAAATCTCAATTTACTGGTCTGAGAGGTCTCCAGGAGGAATATATTGCTGAGTACCAAAAGCAGATATTCCTTTGAATAGGAAAATCAGGAAGAAATAGGTATACATATTAGCTTAACTTTGCTAAAAGAAACACAGGAATGAGAAACAGGAAAGGGAAAGATCGATTGGGCACAGGAGGTGGAAGGAAAGAAGCAGAAGTCATTAGAGACAATTTAACTGCATCAAGGGAGCGTGTCTTTGGTCACGGGTGGTGGCGAGCAAAGCAACATCACAGGTGGAAGTTTAAAATCTCCCTGCAATAAAAACAAAAATAATAATAATAATAATAATAATAATAATAAATCTCCCTGCAAGTTCCTAGTTGATGACTGTAATTTATTGAGCACTTATTCTGTGCCAGGAACTACTGCAAGCACTATGACATACAATTAGACAGCCTCATATGCTGTATGCGGGCCCCAGAAAGAAGGGTCGTGTTATTTGGAGGTGAATGAAATGACTGGGGTGGGANAACCTTGCCCAGAAAGAAGGGTCGTGTTATTTGGAGGTGAATGAGGGACAAGCCAGCTACCAGCCACCCTACTCTATTTAGTTTTCCTTATTGTAGAGCACAGCACTGCACAGCCTCCCTATGTTCCCTATTTAATATTCACAGTGACCCTGGCGGCCACCTCCTCAGCCTTCACTCCCTGGGAACAGACGTTTCACTTCGTATCAAACCCTCAGGAAGGCCAACGGCATGGTCAGCTCAGAGGCAAATCCGGATTCGTCTGGAATCAGTGGGAAACCGCATCCCCTTGGCTGGTGAGCCGTGTCGCCCTGGGTGTGTGACACTCATCCCCTGACAAAGGTGTCCTGGCTGCTAAAAAACAGAGGCTCGCGGGGAGGGTCCTTGGGACAGGATGCCAAGGGCGGCAGGGGCATCTTGAAAGCGTGTGACACCTGCCTGAGGTTGAAACCCCTCCTGGAACCCTTGTCACAAGAGTAAGGAATGTCCCCGCTGGGGCGCCCCTGGAGTGACCTGCCCGTTCCTTGCTGCCGGGAGCACCCAGGCCGACGCGGGCTCCTCGAGTTACAACCAACCGCCAGCCTCCGTCTGCAGACGGGACACGTGAAGCGCAGAGAATTTAGTGACACTAAGGACGGACGTACCTCAAGGCCATCGTGAACCAGACCACGGCCAGGATCAGCGTGTTCATCCTGCAGGGCCCGAGCACACAGTACTGCGCGTTATCCCAGACCTGTAACCACGCGACAGCGGCTGTCAAAGGAGGGACCCGGCGGCGCGACACAGCTCGTTTCTAAGGTTGTCCAGTGAACTGCCCAGGAAGCCGGGGAGAGGGTGAGCGACGGTGCCTCCCAGAAGCCGCAGTCCTCTTCGAAGGGAAGCCTTTTCTCTCCTTACTGGCCGGCTTCAACCTCTAACAGTCCTGTCCTGTCTTCCCCGGGAGCACTACACTGTCCCATGTGTGTGACAAAAGCAGTGAGTGGGGATCTCAAGGCCCGGAGTAAGCCTGAGTGCCAAGTTCCGCTCCCTGCCTGCGGGGATGGGTTGCTATTCCACATATTTAATGACCTTGTACCAAGGTCATCCAGCCTCAGCAGGCTCCGGCCATCAGGTGCCTCGGTGCTCAACAACTGACTTGCCCCTGTAAGGGCCACTTCTCTGCAGAAATGGCCTTGCCCTTCATGAAGACAGTCTCAGAAATCACCAGCAAACCTCAAGGGGTCATTTATTTCACTCCCTCCTTTCTTCCTATGGATTACTGAAAGAAAGGATGCTAGAGGGAAGGACATCTACTCAGACGACACATTTTATAGCTACATTCAAAATCTCTGCCTTGGGAAGGAAGAGCAATGGAAAAAAAAACTAAGGTTTAGAGAGTTTGTGGCTCAACGGCTCATAGCAAGTGAGAGGTGGTCATGGGCTCTGACCCAAACGTCCCCAAGCAGGGTGGCTTCCACCCCATCACACTGGCCCGGGTTGATGGGGGTGTTCAAGACCTCTGTTCTCCACCCACTGAGGTTACAGATTGCCACAGACCCCCCCCATCCCCATGTGTCCCCAGTCATACCTGCTTGAAAGTGGTCTTGAATCTGACCAGACAGCGCTGGTACCAAGTTCCTGTTGAACTTTGGATCTCAAAGAATTCATCCATTTGCTTGGGAGTTTTGATGTGGGAAACCTGTAAAGAGCAATGGGCTAGAGAATCTTAACCCCACTCTGTATCAGGCTTGTCCATTTTTAGTTTATTTATCCAACTGCAGACAAAAATGAATCAGTCTTTTCCCTCAGTCATGCCTTTGGGAGGTTAGTGGGTTATAATTCACTGAATTCTCATTTATATCTGATTTTCCCACAGTAGGGTTGACTCTACCTTAAAATTCACAAATCTATCCTCAGTGGGTATTAACATCACAGAAGTCTAGAACCCACTTAGGAAATTGTGTGTGTGTGTGTGTGTGTGTGTGTGTGTGTGTGTGTGTGTGTGTGTGTGTAGGGGAAATGGGGTTTGCTATGTAGGACATTTTAAAAACACAACAGAATAAGAGAAAGTATATCTTCCTTCTGTACATCAAAGGCAATCTTCCACAAAATGAAAAGGCAACCTACTGAATGGGAAAAACATTTGTAAATCATATATCTGATAAGCAGTTAATATCCAAAATACATGAAGAACTCATATAACTCAATAGTAAAAAAAACAAAAACAAACCACAAACAAAAAAACAGAAGATCTAAATAAACATTTTTCCAAAGAAGACATACAGATGGCCAATAAGCACATAAAAAGATGCTCGACATCTCTAATCATCAGGGAAATGTAAATCGAAATCATAATGAGATGTCACCTCATACCTGTGGCTGCTATAAAAAAGCCAAGAAATAACAAGTGTTGGCGAGGGTGTGGAGAAGTGGGGGCCCTTGTGCAGGGCTGGTGGGAATGTAAATTGGTGCAGCCACTGTGGAAAACAGTATGGAGGTTTCTCGAACAATTAAAATTAGAACAACCATATGATCCAGCAATTCCATTTTGGGTATTTATTCAAATAAAACAAAAACACTGACTCAGAAAGATATATGCACCCCCATGTAGGTGGGAGTTAATCCAGGAAGGCTTCCTGGAGGAAACGGGCTTGAGGTTGGGTCTGAGAGGAAGTTATGCCAACAGGTGCACAGAGAGGCCTGCAGCGGGCACTCCTCAGGGTTGGCCACAGAGCTTGGTAGGGAGGAGCAGAGATCCTGGGAACGAACAGGACATCTTTGTGGAAATTACCATTTACTAGTTTTTGAACTCTATAAACTAACAAGAAACAAAATTCAGGCTAACAGCCAATGGTGGTAAGGGCGCAGAGAAATGGGTAACCTATTGCTTGTGGCCTTGTAGGCTGCTACAATCTTATTGAAATATAATTTGGCGACGTATCTCAAGAGCTATAAAAATACTCAAGCTCGTTTTATTTCTAGGCATCGGCTCTTAGAAAACAAACCCAGGATGTGAAGAAAGGGGTTCTCCAACCTTAGGGTTTTTTAACCAAGTTAAAAATATCTGACCTTAGGCACTGACAGGATGTCTGTCAAAATGCAAAAGAATGAATTATGACACAGTGATACGAATGGCAGGGGTTTTCTTCATCTTTTGACAAATTTTCTGGGAATGTGCTTATATAATAAAATTATCTTCGGCAAACCAGGAAAGAGGAGAGGCCGCCTTTTGCTGGCAGAGGCGACCGCGCTCACCGTGAACACCTTCTCCGGGGTCCCCTTGGCTCTCATGTTGGTATCATGGACTTGCTTCAGAATCATCCAAGCTTCGTCATGTTTGCCCATCTGGTAAAACCAAGGAAAGACATGTGACAAGTCCTTGGCTGGTTAGCGCTGACACCTGAATCTGAGACAAGGGGATGTGGACTTGTTGCTCTGCAGGGCTTGTGAAACACGAGGACAGGTTTCTGTCACCAGCCCACAGTGGAGGGACAATAAGGCTGTGCCTTCGAGGTGTGAATGCTCAGAATTAACATCCTTATGAGCTACGAGTAACTGCTCAGGGTTGTAAGGTTGAAGGGACTGCTGGGGGGAAGTCATTTCCTCACTGGGCAGGACAGAGCAAAGACACAACATGTTAGGGGGTGAACTGTGTCTCCCCCAAAAGATATGCTTAAGTCCTAACCCCCAGGACCTCCCAGTGTGACCTCATTTGGAAAAAGGGCTGCTGTGGATGTAATCAGGATGAGGTCACTCTGGAGCAGGGTGGGTCCCTAGCCCATGTGACTGTGTCCTTATGAGAAGATGCAGAGACACACAGGGAGGACCCGTGTGATGACAAAGGCAGGGACAGGCGTGATACAGCTGCGGACCACGGAAAAGAGGCAAAGAAGGATTCCCCTGAGGGCTCCACAGGGAAGGTGGCCCTGCCGACACCTTGATTTTGGACTTTCAGCCTCCAGAACGGTGAGACAACAGGTGTCCCTTACTCTGAGCCACTCAGTCTGCGGTCCTTTGTTCCAGCAGCCCCAGGACACTGACACACAACAAAGGTAACGTGTGAGATGTCCCTGGTTAAAAAAAAAAACAAAACGCTCCCTGCTGCATCTGTCTCCTGGTCAGTGGGGAATTCAACAAGGAGGCTCACTCCGAAGAAAGTTCTAGAAGGAGGCCCATAAGTGGGCTCCGGACTGGGGCTATAAGAGCCTGTGAGTCCCACTGTCCCTTTACCAACCCAGCCACATCTGACCACTGCACACACGGCAACCCAAGGTGGCAGGCGCCAAGGAGTCACCTCTCAGGACATCGGGAGTGGCTTTCTGGTGGGAAGGGGTCCTGCACGGCCAAGGGTCCTGAAGCAATAAGCTTTACCACAGATGTCACAAGGAGAAACTTCACGCAGCTTTGCAGAGCCACACAATCCAGGCCTCCAAAGAGAGTGGGTGCGAGGGGGCCCCCTGCACCTTGGCCCAGTGCTCAGTGAGCTCCTGAGCCCCTCTTGAATCCAGGGCAAGCAACCATCACGGGTGGGCAGCAATGGAGCCAGATTCAATGAGGGGCCAGGCCAGCCAACATGGGGAGTTTGCAAGAGAGGAAGAAGAGGGCCTACGGGGCTGAGGAAGCTCCTGTGGCTGTCCCGCTGCTCTGACCTGGGGCAGGGGCGCTGACTCACCTCCAGCAGAAACCGCGGGCTCTCTGGCATGAACCTCAGGGCCACCAAGGACACGGTGCAGGGCAGGGCGCAGACGACGACAAACACCCTCCAGCTGTGATAGTGGTAATGGGAGCCCATGCTGAAGCCCCAGCCTGCCGAGGAGAAAGCAGAGGGTTTTCTGACACCATCTCCGAGCGACCTTCAAGCCCTGACTCTCAGGCTGCAGGGCACAAGAGCATCGCCCGGGAAGCCGGTGCAAATGCAGACTCCCTGCTGCACCACCGAAGTTTCTCATTCCCAAGTCTGCCCAGAAAAGCACAGGACCCACCTTTGTGGGCCCCCCTTTTTTCCCTCTTCCCCACCCCTCCTGCAGAGTGAGGGCCTCGTGTTGATACATGTGGACACACCACGCACGCCACCATGCTGACGATCGGCATCCTTGCCATGACCCCTTGAGTTCAGTGGAAATTCCTGGGTCCTGAGTCCCCACAGCAGGGTCTGAGGACGCAGAGACCCTGGCCTCAGAGACCCCTTTCTTCATGGGGAGGGGTGTGGGTGCAGGAAAGCCTATAGGACCCAAGGTTTCGACAGAGGATCCCTCTAACCCAGGTCAAAGGGCAGTGTCAGCTCCAGGCAATTCCAGGACACAAGGTTCAGGAACATATTTTGAAAAACACTGTCAGTCATAATATTAACGTTTTATAATTTTAAAGAAACTGAGCTTCTATTTTCAAATGAATTCTACCACCGTTGAAATGGAGAGGCGGCCAGCTCCTACTCGGCTTCTGTTATTCCAAGTATTTCCAAAATTTACTTTCAGAAATTGGTTTTAGGATCTACAAAACATTATCTCAAATATCCTCATGGGTGGCAGATTTCCCTCGGTGAAAGAGAATTGTCACACGGTGCCAAGAGCCTGGACCGTTGCAGTCACACAGATCAGAGCTCAGATTCTGGTTTTCTCACGTTGTGCTTGTGTTGGTGAGTTTGCACGGCTATAAAATGCAGGTGATGAGACCTGCACAGATTTGCCACGTGGGAACACTTCCAGCAACCAAGTCGCCTGCTCTGAGGGTAGCTCTGGCTTATTTAGAAATAGCTCCATGGCATTCAGTGCCAAAGATGTCGAGCAAAATAGGAGAACACCAGCAAAGACCAGCAAAAGAATAGTTGTTTTTTAAGCCAAGGTTATAAAATAAAGAGATTGATTTTCTTACGCCACCCGAAGTATCTCTGAAGACAATCCCAACAGCATTTTTTTAAAAGACAAAGCTGTATAAGTGAACACATTGGCTTCTAAAGTTCAGAGGGCAATCATCGTGTGTCTGTAAAATCTCTATTCCACTGACTTAAAGAACTCCAGCTGCCAACTCCAGTGGCGGGCAGCTGATGTCTTGGATTCTCTATTAATCGCATTGTGCTTGGAGTTGTCCTTGCTGTGGGCTCGTAACCAAGATCTACTGTGTCTGCAGGTATTTCTTACTCTGTTGGCACAATTAAAGAGCCAGCCAGAGGGAATCCCATGTGGCAAAGTGGAGAACTGAAGCCGCTTCAGCACATCTGGCCACACAGCACGCATGTCACCCAACGTCCTCAGTCCCAATCAAATCTCTTGTACAGCCCGGCTTTGTCCCTTCCCCACCTCACTGGGGTTGGTTTGTTTGCTTTCATTTTCATTAAGAAGCCTCTCCTTTCTCCTGAGAGTAATACTAGAAAGAGGAAGATAAAGCCATAGTAATAGTTACACCTCAACTCATGGCCAAAAACCATTCTGGCATAATTAGAAGTAAAGCGGACCAAAGCCAGGGAAGCCAATCTCAGCTAGGTGACAAAGGAAGGGCAGAGCCAGGTATGTTTATAAAGTATTCTGCCTCAGAAAGATTTTTTTTTTTTTTATGATAATATGTTTAAATGATCCAAAATCCATTATCCCCCTCATCCCTCTGTGGTTTTTATGGTGACTTCAGTAATCTGCACTCACTGCATTTATGAGGCACGTCTTCAGGGCCTTGCATTAAATAACATTAAAGAGTGAACCACTCCTCAATAGGTGGAACAGCTATTAATTTGGAGACAGGGATTGCTCAGTCCACTGAGCTTCAGCTTGCCCTACTTTTCGGCTTCGGGATTTCACAAACAGCTGGTGGCGCTGGCTACAGTGGGAGTTACTCTNATTGCTCAGTTCACTGAGCTTCAGCTTGCCCTACTTTTCGGCGTCGGGATTTCACAAACAGCTGGTGGCGCTGGCTACAGTGGGAGTTACTCTTCCATAAGGCACATTTTTTCTGAGTCCCCAGGAAAACATTCTGAGTTTTATTAACGGTCTTTTTCAATGACTCCGTCACCCAAATTCCTGGTGCCAGGACCTCCCGTCACCCCCTTCCAGCCAAAGCCATGAAATGGGTTGCACAAGCCCAAGCCGTGCGTAAACACCAGTCTCCTTCCTGTAGTGAGGAGAGGAGTTTAGAGGATTAATGTCTCGGGCTGATTGTGAAATATCATCAGATGTCTGGTTCGCTGTAGACAAAACATCTGGTCCTGGTATAATGAGGCTTAAGATAAATAATCACCAAAAAAAAAGTAAATAAATAATAATAATAATAATCACTCCTATTTTGCTGTGATTCAAATCTATCGTATTTCTAGGATGGGTTTCCTCCAAGTTAATACCTGTTTCAATGGAGCCAGACCATCTAAGAGGCTTGTAATTTTTTAAAAACTTATTCTGTAAAGTGTATTGAGTGTCTTTTATATGCTCAGAACACGGTGGATGCTATCTCTATTCTCATGTGGTTAATAATTCAGTTAATAATATAAATTTTTACTTTAGTTCTTTGATACTACCAAGGATTGACCCCACTCAACAGAGTCTGTTTTCGCATTTCTCTCTTCCCCCATCACACCCCATTCCCCTACCTCCTATTGACCATTTATTCCCCTCTTTCTCTCATCTCTCTCCCCTCAACTCTTTGTTGAGAGGCCTGAATTTTTAAAACGGGATGTTAAAGTCGCGGACTTCATACAAGCATACAAATAAAAAACACCTTGTCCATTTGGGGTGAAATATTTAACCACCAGCCGAGGTCAATGAGCAGCCGTGCAGCCCATTCAGCCATGAGGAGCCCCCTCAGTCTTGGTCAACATGCTCCCCGACTAAGTGCTTTTACTTCTCTCTTAGAAACCAGACACCCAGACCTTGGTGCCCAAAGTGAAGTGAAAAAATGACGCAGCGTGCAGTGACCACTGTGGGTTGCTCCCCTAAAACGTCCCTCCAAGGCCTTCTCCACCCTGTTGCCCTTACCTGGTTTGGGGCACTGCCCCCACCCCCAGTGCCAGGACCGAGAAAGGAGGTGAATGGGAATTATTGGGGACCTGGTAGCCTCTGGGGCACAGTGATGGGCTGAGGTGGGCACATGGCCTGAGCTGATCCAATCGAAGGAACACAAAGGCCTTTGCTCGCTGGTCAGGTGCAGGGCGCGCCTCGGGGGTGGAATAAACAGTCTGCAAACGGGGAGCCTAGGATCGCGCCTGCTTTTTAGGGGGAAGCTAGCAGGACACTGCCCTTTGTAGCCCAAGACTTGCTGAATGTTAGGCCTGGGCCAGGCCTCTACTGTCGGTTCTCTCTGCTTCCTTGCCCTGCCCATTTTATAGGCGAAGAAACCAAGGCTGCACCAGATGGAGCAATGCGTCTCAAGTCATGCACAGCGCCACTACTTTGACTCAGCTTTTATGCAGATTTTATTTGTCTTCTCTCCTCCCCCCGCCCCTCAAAAAAGTTTTTTACTCACTTTAAATGTGGAAATCGTTTCTTAGGGGTCACACATTTGGACCAGTTAACAGGGGGAATGATACTAAAGCAGCAATTATGGGGGGAAAAAGCAATTCCTTGGACACACATGACCAACAGCACAGCACGTGGACAATTAAAGTGTGGGTTTGAGTGTAGAATGCAGACCCTGATTTTAGGAGAAATACAACCTTGTACCGAAAATTGTGCAGAACTGCTTTTGGCGACAGAATTATCTGGAAAACTCTTTCACTTTTTATTTCATTATTCCTGTTCCTGTTTATTTTCGGTTTCTGATACAAAATCCAGAGGGTTCCCAAGTACCACATACGGCAAAGATTACATGGCGCTCCCAAGCCCATTTCCTCTCCTTTCTGGGCGCGCAGCTAGATGGCTTTGCCGAGTGTCCTTTGCAGGAGGGTGTGATCATATTAAAGATTTGGGGCAAATGGGATGAGAGCAGAAGGATGTGCCCTACTTCCTAGCCTGTCCCTCAAAACCATTCACATACAACCAGAGACCTTCAAGTCACATGTTGAAGACGGTGGGGTCATATGTTAGGAGTCTGAGCCCCCAAATTATTGCTGGAGCAGAGCCACTTGCAGATCAGAGACATCAGCCAGACCTAACAGGAGGGAGCATTTCTCCTGTGTTAAACCACTGAGATTTCAGGATTTATACGATTATTAGTGTAATGCCCCGAGCTTCACATTCACTAATAGAGGAGTCACTGGCTACACTAAGACTTCTTAAAAATATATACACGGAGCCTCCATTAGCTCAGAACACACACAGGACACATTTAAAACAAGGACACCAGGAGGCGGGTGATTCGAGAAGTGTTGGTTAGCTCCAGGAGCGGTTGTCTGCTAACCCCACACCTCCGCAGGCCCCAAATCATGGCAAAGCCTACACCCTTAATCGGTGGCTTTCTCAAAATGATTTTGAAGAACACTGATGGTATCTGTCACCCAGGATACTCAAGAGGCATAAGCAAATTCAAACTGCTCCCTTCTCCCTCCTTTACTCTTACCAGAACCAACAGCGGATGCTAACATTGCCAGGCCTCTGTCTAGAGAATCTACTTTTTACAATTGGCCGGATTAATAAAATTGTCCCGACTAAAACAGAGACCTTGTCTGCAAGGGCTGCTCCACTTCTGCAGGCTACAGGAGTGTGGCATGGGGGCCGGGGGTGGCGGGGGAAGCATCAGGGTTCAAGGTCATGTCAGGGGCATGACCTTGGCCAAAATCACCAACTTCTGTTGGCTTCTGTTATATTATCTATAAAATGGGGTTACCGAAGCCTAACTTTTTGGGGGGAGAACTGCTGGATGAGATAACAGGTAAAATTCTTTCAAATAAAAAGAAAGAAGAAAGGAAAGGAGAGAATGAGGGAGGGAGGGAGGAGGGGAGAG